GTGAAACACAAGTCTGCGTTTCCGAGGCCACAAGCTCCGTGCTTTGTACCCATCTCGCCCCTTAGCGTCCGAGACCACAAATCCCTACTGAAATATAAAAATGCAGTTTCTCTGCACACAGAATAGGGTTAAGAAAGAAACATCTTTACATTATGTAGAGTATAAAAGGTTTTGTTCATTAAAATACATAGGATAAAAATACATAGGATTAGCCTATTAAATATACACCTTTCAAGCCACTATAGGCCAATAACTGGATTCCAGTAAGGATTTGAGATTAGAAAATTCTCTTGAAGGCCTTCCTCTCCTCATCTATATCCAGTCCTGCTTGGAAGTCCTTGGGAAGACAGAAAAATGACTCTGAATAGCTCCAACCGTGACCCTTCTCTGTGTATCTCTCTGCCCCAAGCCCCCAGATCTATGCTCCACTTTGAATAATAGCTACCTTGCACCCAGGTCACTCCCAGCTTTGCTTTGGTACAACCAGATTTAGTTTTCTACCGCTGGGAAATGAATTAATTTGCTTCTTATGGGCATGTGAGGCGCATTTATTTCCCTCCCAACGCTCCCAGAAGCCACACGTGCAGCAGTGCAGTCTCAGCACTCCTCCTGCTGGAAAGATGCAGCTTTCAGGAGAGATGTATGAATGTTACTGCTGCAAAAAGCACTAAAAACCTCACTCCAACAATTCAGTTGCTACCTGGGTGCAGGATTACACCTATAGTCACCTGCAGGCTTGGGGGATAACATGACAACTTGGGGGAAGTGTACCCCAACATTTTCTTCGATCAGTTACGCCTAGCTTCATTTTTCCCCTGTTTAAGTCAGCTGAGGTTGTACCTCACAGACAAAGCAGTGCACAAAATAGCTCCCCGCAAAACACAGGGGCCACAACCCAGCCTGACACGAGCTACGGTATTTCAGAGGACGAACGCTGCCATGCCGGGCTTCACCTTTTCCCTTGTTGGGGCTCACGGTTCTGTCCGTAGCAAGTGCCAGAGGCCACTGACTGCTTCGCCTTAGTTATAGTGAACAGCAGCTCACCTAGGATTAAAAATAAATAAATAAACAACTCACACGTGATCGGCATTACAGAATATTTGCAGCACTCCTTCAATGCTTATAAATGGTAGGGATTGCTAGTCCCGTACATCGTCTCCTGCTTTCTTAGAACAAGCAGCATCTCAGTGTTTTAGAGGCAAAGAGACTGTGACCTTAAAAGCTGTTAACCCGATTCTTCCTTAGAAAAGATTTTTAGATGAAGTATGATGGCCCATCCAATTCAGCACAGCTTGGACTGTGCTGCTAAAAATGAGACAGCGGCTGCAATGAACAACAGGAACCACCTTTTGGAGAGCGGTGGGACAGTGTGAAGGGTGTTCTCCCCTTGCCTGCCACGTGCAATGACCTTGACTTTTCTTGTCGAGGGAGCAGCATTTTCACTAAGCAGTCACTTACGTGGAACACTCTTCCATTCACTGAGGGTAACAGCACATAAAACGCAGATACTGCCGACCAGTTAAGGCTGTGAAACATCATCTCTTCCCTCATCATAGACACGTGTAAGCGGGACCCGAGTTACTGCTGCTCTGCTTTTGATCCAAGATCTGTGCTATTTACCTAGCAGGTGGGTATTAATTCTGTCCTAACGACGGCTCATGGAAAATGTTGCCTCTTACCCCATACAGTCTACAAAAACCTAGCATTTAGGACAGATCAACAAGTGATTTACATGGCGTTACAACTGAAACTAGAAACTACTGAAACATGGTACCCCCATATTCACCAAAGAAAGCACTAATATTTATTTCCAGTAGCAAAAATTTCAATTTTAGTGAGGCTTACTCCTACAATTAGCACTAGTTGCTACAGTATTTTGGCTAAATACCACACCTACAATCCCCTCTCTGCATGTTTCAGGACTAAGCTCATTAAATGAGAATAACCATGCACACTCTTCCTCTTTCCCCGTGTCCATCAGCCATTTCAGGATACAAACAAACCTTCTCATGTGCATACACATCACAAGGCTGCTCTAGCATTACACATGCCAAGGCCATTATAGCTATATTGATTTACTCATCTACATTAAGACCCACAGGATTTTACTTTACAGCTTAATTGCATTTTCTTAGGTATAATTGCTGTTCTTTTTCTTACCTGATCTACAGAGATTCACACATGTATGGTATTGTCACAGCGTTTGAACTTTCAAGACTTCTGCACAAATACTCCGTATTTCGCCTTTTAAGATCTTGAAGCAGGCAAAAAATGATTAGAGCAGAAACCGAGGAATCTATGGAGTGGATATCAAATTTCTAGATCAACAGATCGTACTTTCATCTGGTTCCCTTTGGGTCAGAAACAGTGTATACTCTGTATCATGTTATGGCACCGTACTACTAAGGATTTGCCTTCAAAAGTCATAAGAGCATCTTTTCTCAACTGCACACACCAAGCCTTTTTTGCAGGGGATCTTTGCATCAAACAGCCTCTCTTTGCTTATGGTGTGTGAATCCCTTGGTATCATCACATGCAAGCATTTGAGATAAGCACAAACACCCAAACTTAAGAGCCAGTCTTCGAAACAAGGCATGCCTCCCCAGCTTGCCATCCTCTCCTCACACACACACACCCCCTCAGCAAATGCTGTAAGGATTCCCAACTGGAATGGGATGTATGGGATTAGCTCAAGATGCTGTATTTCTGCTACTGAAGCTAGACATCTAACACAAGCAACCTGTGCTAAATGATCAGGAACTTCATTGGCAAGAAGCCACCTATGTAAAACCTTGCATATTCATCAAGATTGTTGGAGCAGACCATGCTTTGCACACCCTCTCTAGACTGGCTTAGGCTAAGTGGGGATGTGTGGAGACATGTTGGGACATCTGAGGACACGTGAGGACACGTAGGGAACCATGGGGACACATGTGGATGCATGGTGATGTGTGGGGATGCGTGGCAGTATGTAGGGACGTGTGGGGATGCATGGGCACATACGGGGACATGTGGGGATGTTCGGGGACTCGTGGGGATGTGTGGGGACACATGGGGACATGTGAAGACGTGTGGGGAAGTGTGGGGTCACGTGGGGATCTGTGGGGGCCCGTGGGAATGTGTGGGGGAATGTGGCTACTTTTGGGGACATGCAGGGACTCCTGAGGATGTGTGAAGTTGTGTGGTGATGCATGGGGACGTGTGGGGACACGTGCAAAAGTGTGTGGATGTGTTGGGATGTGTGGGGACACGTGGGGACCTATGGGGATATGTAGGGATGTTTGGGGACTTGTGGGGACGCATGAAGAGGTGTTGAGACATGTGGGGACACGCAGCCATCACTACTGCTGGGCTTCGTGCCTTTTATTTACTTTTTTTTAATGGCAGGGGGGACCTACGACCCCCGCACCCAGAGCCTGGAATCACTCCTGGAAATTCTCCTTCCTGGGTTCGGATCCTCCTCCCGCTCTGCTGAAACGTTCCTGGTGCTACAGACTAGAGCTGAACAGAGCAGCTTGCACAGCCTGAACTCCCGATCCAACAATTCCTCCAATTCCTACAGAACAAGGGAACGAACTTCCATACTCAAGGTGCTTCCAAGTTACCTGAATTGCCAGTCCCCTCATTTGCCTCTCAGTCAGTCCGAGTTTCTGTAGAGACAGACAACAGAGCTGTTTTTCCTTCCCCAGCACTTCACACGTTGATATAAGTAGGATTGGACCAAAGTCACTTGGCTGTTTGGGACCGCTAACTTGTCTGCACGCATGTAACGCTTCTGCTGCTCACGTCAGCCTTTTACTGCCCCTAACAGAGGCTGAACATCCCTTTCTCCCTACCAGCCATGTGAGCACAGCCTGTAGCCAAAAGCTGTTTTCATACATATGTCTCTTTCAGAGCACTCTTTCACCTACTGCCCAGGACATCTAGTGAATTCAGTGCAAAGCCCCCTTTCATGCAGAGACTTTCCCATCAAGCCCTCAAGAGCTCGGTGTTGCACAGAGTTTAAAAAGAACACACCGGTCATCCTGGAGATATTTGTGAAGCTCTCCGAGCAGCCAAACGCTTCAGCTGAAGTGGAGAAACTTCTAAGCAGGCTGATATGGGCAATAGAAATAAATAAATAAATAAAAACCCTCACCTCCAGTAACGGAAATGATTTAACACAGCAAACGTGAGTCTTCCGTCCGGATTTGAACATCTCACCACCCCGGTAAACAGCACTGCTTTTTAGTACCTTCTTAAATGCCTGCATCCCTGCAGAACGGAGGGAGAATGCCACCTGCTGGCAGCAGCACGGAAAACGCAAGGGGAAAAAATAAGTGCAGGAAGGTAAGAAAACACCTATTTTTAGGCAACTGATTGAGAGATGTATGAATATTTACGCTAGTCTCCAGTTCATATGCAGCCACTCTGCTGGAGTGGAACACAGCAAGTGCTATTACAAGTCACAGCAGTTACTACTCAAACTGAATTAAACAAGCCAGAGTGTCTAAGACTGTGCTAGGAGCATATTCGTTGCTGGCTGTTGGGCACAAGTCTGTTACTGTTGCAATTGGTTTGAGTGGCCCCAAGGCACTGCATGATTTCTCTGCACATTGGGTCAAGTAGACAAAAGCACAGAGCTTCTGCCCTGAGTAGAGAGCTCAAAATTACAGGTGCTAATTCCTCATCTGCAACTGTGGGAACTGGAGAGGATTACTTAAGAATTTACAATGTTACTTTTATTGAGTATAAAATAATACATGCAAAGAAAAGCCCCACGGAGCTTTCAGCTTCCAGAGGAAGCGTTAAGTATCTTCAGACTCCTGTTTGTGACACTGAGGTTCCAAGGAATTTTAAGTGAATTCAAACTTGCTTTTCTCCCCTTCTTTTTAAGGTTAAGATTTGCACTTGTTTCCCTTGCTTGATAATCAAGGGAAAACATTATCTACTAAAGAGTTCTTAGACAGAAGTTATTCTTCAGCTTCTGTTTTTTTTCCTTCTTCCTTTTCTTCCTCCTCTTTTTCTTCTTCCTCCTTTTCTTCTTCCTCCACCTGAGGCAGAAGTCCATCCAGGTTCAGTAGCAAACCCTCGCTGGTTGAAGATCGAATAACCAACTTCTGCACAAAAGCACCTATAAAAAACACAGAGAGGACAACAGGAATCAGTTACTCCACCACTCTCTAGGTCATCAGATTGATTTATCTTATTACTAATCCATACACCAAGCACATGACCAGAATCATACACATACCCATATCATTTCAGTACAGAATCCAATTCACACTCTGTTGTCACAGGAGATACTCGCTTGGCAGCTACATTACTCCTTCGGTACCACAACCACACCAGAGCTTAGAAAACACAAATAAAGCTTCATACATTTTGCACTCACACTCCTTCAAAAGTAGCAAATCAGGTACAGATGAAATCAGGTTGGAAATGGTCCTGACTGGAGAAAGATGGATGGAAAGATCACTGGCAACCCCTCATCACTTCTTTTTTTTTTCCTGGCAGTCCCACATGCCAGCTCAAGCCATTTAAGCTTAGATGTATACATGCTTCTTAAAGTACAAGACTTCTTTTCTAAAGATATCAGATATGCAATTCCATGGGAAACAGAGAGAGGCATAATTTCATTCCTAGGTAGCTGAGTATGCAGCGGTCACTTGGAAGCATCCATCCAGACCTTGTACAGAAGTACCTTGCACTAAGGCACCATTTGGTTATTTCGAGTTGGTGGGAAAGGCAACTGAGCTCTGCAATAAAAATAGAATTGGATCTTAAGAGAAAACATAAGTGTTCTGAAGCAGCTAAATCTGCTGAGCTCTCAACAAAGGAGCAAGAGGGGAAAGCAACGTCCAGCAGTCAACACTGAAGCTACAGCTCATGCCCAGCACCACCTTGGCACTGCAATCCACGCAACTTCACAAGGAAGGGCCTCACTGCTAACTAGGAAGCACCGCTTGAAAATGAAAGAAGAGATAAAACCACAAGTTCTGTCCTGCTTACAGGCCTCAGGAGAAAAGGGAACAGCAGGAAGGCTATTCGGATGCCGAAGGCTATTCGGATGCCACCAACAGATCGGATGGGGCAGGCACTGCCTGTCTTGCAGCAGCAGCCCAAGTCTGTCAAACACTGGCACGTTCTTTCCAACACTTCTCCTCTAAAGGCAAAATATGTAGAAGTAGGAACCTTCAACCAAATGTCACCTGACAGATGGCACAACCTGAGGAAAACGTCGCACAGGCTGGTCGAGGGACTGCTCAAGTGTGCAGAGGTTCAAACCTCCTTCGGGTTTGGAAAGGGGAACTAAACGAGAGCCCAGTTCCCGCATGAAAGGAAGACCTGCTAGCATCATCTGGGCCACATACCTGTCAGACCACAGCAATTAGGCCATCAGAGACATGATATTTTGATAGCTACAACTGAGCACTTGCTGCTAAACAGGGGATAAAATTGCCATGAGGCAGAAGGAAGAAGAGATTAAGCCAGTTCAAAGCATCAAGTGTAATGAATGCTGCAGAGAGACTAATACAACACTTCCCACGGAGAGCAAACACTCTTACTCCAGGCCCCATCAGCTCTTCTCCTGTATTAACACTTTCTACACAGCTCCGTGTGTTTACAACTGTCTATTCCCACCAATGAAATCGGGTTTATAATAGACTAGTTCTAGCAAACACAAGCACAGGGAAACTGAGTCCATGGCCATCCAGCCCCCACTAATCATTCGAGATGCCAGGCCAGGAGAAGCACAAAAATAATAATCAAAAAAAGGTAGGCTCCAGCACACTGGAATCAAACTCGACTTCCTCGGAGCTTCATGGAATTTAACTAGCCTCCTCTTTGTAATCTTAATACGAGAACATGACAAGACACCCAGGACATTTCCTATTTCAGGTTCCCAGGACCAAATGCAGAAGGACTCTTTTGACAAGAGGAACTCTAGAAATAGATGCCCTGACTTGTCTGGGGAAGATAAAATACAACTCTTACATCACACTCTGGGAAAGCCCACTTGGCATTTTTAGCCTTGCATTTGGTCAAGTGACTTAAAAAGGCAGGCACTTCTGTGGTGACTACATAGCTGCAAAAAGGCACTCGATTACATATGGAAGTTTCAAAGACACCAACAGGCAACAGTCTGTAATTCCTTGGTCTAAATGCCTGATAGTTAGCAAACGTATCCAGACCTCTTGATAAAGAAGCACTCAGAGTCAAGCTTGCTGGATAAAATATATTTGTCACTTGTAGGAAGCAGCAAAGAAGCACAAGGAAGGTTGACACTGCAACACACAAATAGAAAGGTCACCAAGCCCTTCTTCAGAAAAGCTTATCCTTATTTCACTAGACTACTTTAGTTCAGATGGAAACTTCTAAATGAAACAAACAAACAACAAAAAAAAACCCCACACAATAAAAACAGCCACACTTTCTGCTTCCAATTGTTCATCTCTGGTCAATACCACATATTTTTGGGGGGATGAGGGGGCTGAAAATCTCTCAAAGCCTTGTGGACTTTGTATTTCATAATCTGTGTTTGGTTTGCATGTAGAGAATCACAGGAAAAAAGACTAAATGTTTTTGCAAAAAAATTAAACCAATATTGACCTAAGTTAATCATTTTGTTAGTTTAAACATAAAGCTATTCTTGCATAAAATTATGTTTTTAAATCACTATTTCCACTCCAGTTAAATGGATAACATTTGTTTAAAGCTTAGTTTATTATTACAAAGAACAGACCACATGTTGGTTCAGTTTCTTTGCTAGGGAACAATGAGCAGAACCCACAGAAACAAGACAGAATTCATCCTCTTAATCCTTTGTAACCTGATCTTCTGGTTCAGGATTTTTTAAAACAGAATTAGCAGCTTTGCAGAATGAACAGCAGAAATCCAAAAAGCATCCTAGCAATAAAAGTCCAGAACTTGTTGTACATCTTCACAGGCAGATACCCGATATCTGACTAGATGTCAGCTGAAGTATAGCTTCAACTGAAGCAACTGCAGGTGGGGTCTAATCCAGGTCTTTGGACTCTCTTGTCTCATTAGGATTTCACTGTGTGGCTGCACTCCATCAGAGCATCAACTCTGCAAGCTTAATATGCTATGTAATCTCCTTTCTTGCCTTGCATTGCTTACCTCGTGCTGCAGTGCAGTAGGACTTCACATCAGTGGGAAGAGACCCTGTCCATGCCTCCATGGACTGGGATTTACTGAAGCGCCTAACAGCTTCTCCCTCCCCTCTCAAGATGGATAAATCCATGGAGTCACCTGACAACATCCTGGTTAAGAACACTCATTTTGTTTGCCATAACTTCAGTTAACAGGCCGACAGAAAAGCTACTTACCAGTGCTTGGTGGCTTGAACGTGTAGATGTCCTGGATAACTGCTTTAAGATTGGCTACTACCTGCTCAGTAGGCATATCCAGCTGGAAGCAGATAATTCACAGTTAGCCATATTGAAACTTAAAGCTTAGATTAATGAAGTGGCCTAGGTTACACACTTATTGTCTGTTTGGGTAGATTGTGTTTCTTCATATTGTTCCCCCTGTTAAAGGGCTACAAACCTCATTAATGGCCTCAGCAAGAGGACTCCTGTATTTTATACAGGGTTATAAGCTCATTTTTCTTATTTCTATTCAGAGCATTAAATTACCACGGCTCTGTATACCATAGATGATCTTAAAAGAAATAAAAGAGTTAATAGATGTACAAGTACTTTGATGAAAATCTTATTAGCAATTAAGATTTCAGGAGAAAAACTTTGCAAAGCGGCTGCCGGAATATAGAACGCATCAACTGAAACACAGAACGTCCCCAAGTTGAACACAATATATTACCAGAAGTGAACATAAGGAATTAGTTTTGAGGGTTTATTTTGATTTTCAAGCAAATCTTCCTACCTGCTTTGTTCAAATGAGCCAATACCACTGCCATAAAAATCAGTACCTCCATCGTTTGAACAGCTGGCTTCTAAATCTTAAGTTTAAACCTTAATTGACTCCTAAACTGAACGAACTAAACCTAATAGGTCTGAACGATCTATGCAGCATTTGCAGTCTGTAATCTAGTCTCAAAGAGTCCATAAGATAAAAAAATAATATATTGCTCTAAGCCTCAGCTTACAACTTCCTATAAGAACCAAGAATCACAACATCCTACAAATATGGTTAATTCCTTCATGTTTGAGATATTGATATTTCTTGATGGGGAAAGAAAATGGTACTCAAATCAACTTGCGTTCAGACCGATATGCTTCATCCCAGAGACTACTTGGAGTTATTTAGGTGCAAACAGATTGATAACCAAGAAAAAGCAAGGCTCAAAACCTTTCAAAGTAGTCTCCACATAACCACAGTAACTTCTTGCACAGACACACTCAAGCCATATGACAGCTTTGATATTTAATTCAAAGTGACAGTGTTTTATTCCCTTCTCCGGGAGCAAGTGGATAAAGACAACAGCCCTTTTCTTTGCAGGCACATCTCAAAACAGGCATTTTCACTTCAAAGTTATTTTCCACCGTACACCCAAGAAATCCAAAGGAGGAAAAACTTGACCCAGTCTCTCTCACATTTCCTGTACTTGCAGCCAACGGCATAAGAGAATTATTGATGCAATAACAAGTACTCCTAAAAGAACTCATTCCAGAGAGCAATGGATTCCTCAGCAAAACATATGAGGCCATTTTCCAGTCCCTGGGCCGATTCTCCTTCCTGGCCCTTCACAAGGTAGCCAGAATGAACTCATTAGCACTGATGCAGTCAATGGTTTTCCAGCCTTTGTCATAACTGACAGCCTCCCCATAAGAAACAAGGAGGACTCAGCCTGCAACAATAAATGGTTCAATACAGAGGGAATGAATTTCAGCACCTTGATTCAGAACACAGATTCCAGCTTTCCCCCCAAAAAACCTATACCAAAATTCAACTACGAAGTGTCTTTGCCCAAAAGGGAACCAGATTTTTTATGGTTCTACCTCAAGGCATTTAAGACATCTGCAGTGACCATTTAAGCAGAAGATGTCAAAGATGTCACTGCCTAGTGAGCAGCTGAGCCCCATCTACCTTTCAGCTCATAGTTATGGTGAGGCACCAAGCTTTTAGTAATAACAGCAACATGACCAAGATGCCACAGCAATATGCAACTTCTGCGTGTATGATTATTCAATTAAAATGAGATTTTTCTTCTTCACTTCAAAGAAGCACTTGACTCAACTCTACCAAAAAGAAATCCTCAAATGTCACAATACAAGAACCTGTTTGAAAAGCAGGATTGGAGCTGATCATGTAAGGCAGTGTTCCTTTGGTGTAAGGCAAGCCTTCACATCTGGGATCTGGAATTGAGAACAGCTCAGAGAGCTAACAGACAACTGTTAGAACATATGTTTTTCACACAGGTCTTGTGTACTACCCCCAAATCTTTATCAACTAACCTTTCAAAACACAGGAGTGAGCACCTCAACCATAACTGTTTTTCTTTTTACAAGTTGAAAAGTTAACATGCTTTTTCCCTTCTTAAAAATCAAGTTACAACCTACACTCCCACTCACAGATGAGGGAGGAACACCAACAGGTATCTTCTGTTTTCTGATTTGAATGTTATCTCCAATGTACTTCTACCTTCTGTAGCCACAACTGCAGAGGTTTGAGGCTGGTACACATCTGCCCACGGTTCTAAGCCTGTGAATAAAATGGTGATCCTGCACACACACCTCCTCCTAGAAGGATGCATCCTTTAGAATCAACAGTAGAATTTCACTTACTGAAATATCCTTAGTCTATTCTACAGAAGAAACAGTTTCCAGGCAACTCTGCACAAATGCAAAAAAGGACTACAGATGGCTTCCTATTGTCACATTTAAAGTCTTATTTCTATTTAAAAGATGAAGTTTGGGAGAAAAGGTATGTTGTAGTGACCAACAGCACATCATCCAGTTTCAAAAGATATGTCAATATCCTCAACAAAAAGCACCTTAAACTACCCTCTGCAGGTAGTCCCACCGATAAATATCCTGAACCTGGATGTTTCTATCCCATTAAGTTCACTTTCTCAAAGAGCACTTAACATCATTTAAGCCAACCTGCTACCATTCTCCAGCCTTCCAATTGACACGTCAATTATTTAACACCACACACACACACAAAGACACTGAAGCTACTAACTCTGAGTGCAGGATTATATTCGAGCAATAGGCCATAATTGAACTAACAAGCAACATCAGACAGCAGCACCAACAGGAAAACATCACTTGGAGAAAGACCAACTTGGCAGAGCCCCAGGAGCATCTATGCTTCTGTTCAGAATACAACAGATCTTTATGCTCTGTGTAATTCCCAAGTGGTTATTTTCTCACCAAGAGTTCCCTTGAAGAAGCTCTCGATTCAGCAGCGTGCAGACAGGCATGGCTTCCACAGGCTCCCAGGGCCTTGCCTATACTCATGAGATTTTCCTCCAGCATCATTGCAGTAACAGGAGCAAAACTAGGTCAGTATAGTAGCTGCAAAGGGTGGAGGCACTTGACAGAGGCTGGCTCCATCCCTCTGCTCGCAGCTCCCAGAACGCAGCCACGGTGCGTGCAGCCCTGCTATGAGGCCAACACTCACCACAGATCAACTTCCTGCACACAGGTGAGCCCCAGGCAAACTATCCAACCCGGGAGGTTAAGTGCTCCTTCACAAACAACTCCTTACAACCAGAAAGGGCTCCCTTAGAGAGTAGAGAATGCCCAAGAACACCACAGAATGATGTTCCAGACCACACCAAGTTTTTCGAAGTGCTACAGAATGGCAGGGCCAGAACTGCCTAGCAGCAGAATACGAGGCACAAGGCAACAGTCTCATGTTAATGTTGGGTTAGTAACAGCACCTACGTTCTTCAGAAACTCTTCTGTATGCAGCTGTATGAAGCTATGCCAAGCTGATGCAACCACAGATATGTCAAACACTGTCAAATCAGAGTTAATTCATCATGATTGGAAAAAAAAACTTAACTGCTAAAAGAAACTTCAAAATAAGCTTCAACGACAAATATTTCAGACTGATCTACAGTATAATACATCTTGTTTCAAACCATCTGAAGTTTAAGATAGAAGAGAACGTAGCTGCCATATTTGAAACAAGGCTAGTTGTAAGGATTCCACATTTCACACACTCTCATTACACCTATACCTCTGTGAAGAGGAGTAAGATGCACAATTCACCACCGCTAGTCAGACTTCACAAGATATCTCTAACACTGCCAGACAAAACTTTGGGGATTAAAGGTGTTGTAAGCTTCCTTTCTGAACTGCTATCAGCTTTTAAACAACACACACAAACCTAGAACTCAGTGAAGGAACAGACTAAACAGAATGAAAAACAAAGCCATAGAGCAAGGAAAATAAGGGAAGCAAGGAAAACACACACAAAGAGCCCAGATCAAGAGGTTAGAATCCCTTAGCAAGAACCACTTCCTTACTAAACAGCAAAGCAGCCATCACAGGACAGGCAAGTTAATGACGATCACCATTTGTGTCCAAGTTAAGAGTTTTTATTTTATCAGGCCAGTTCAGAGAGTTTCAATATTAAAAATCACTCTTTCATTGTTAGGGCAAGCAAGATCCACCTATGCATAGTGACCACTGACTTAGAACCTCCCGTTTACATATGGAATAAATACTGCACCTACAGAAATGAAGAGGGATCGAGCCTACATTAAGGTCTTATGAGTCATGAGAAAATTGCTAAATATCTTCATCATTACTTAATTCGCATACCATTCCATTCTACACTACAACACAGGAGGGAAAAAAAGAGCAAGGTATAGTTCATGCCAAGTGGTTAAGGATGTTAAAAATGCGTTCTATGGAGAAGAGACAGAATTAAAAACTTTGTGCACAAACTTACTCTTGCTATTCTTGTTTTGATTAGATGCTCATCTTGCACTGCATACTCAAGGCCTTCTTTAAAGAATTGCAGCATTTTAGGAATATCTTGGCCCATGGAATCTAGTTGAACAAGAAACAGGAAAAAATAGATTGAGTATTATTTATGGGCATGACAAAATCTAATTACTAGTAAAGAAATTCAATGTTTCAGTTCAGGCAATTAAACAAGAAACTCCCAAAGCAATACAACTCCACGAGCGAGACCATAGCCCTCTCTTACTCATTCTACATAAGTCATTCTCCCTCTTCCATTCCCCCAAAATCATCAGCTCACACAAACAGCTCCTACAAATACGGAAACTGTGAGGAACATACTAAGTGTATTAAAGCTTTGCTGTGTAATTGAAGCAGCACAGAACTCTGAAGCCTGAAGTGTTACGCTTAGAAGAAACCCCAAGTGCCTGGCTTAACAAATAAAATTGTTCATGGCTATGTAACAGCAAGGTCATCAACCACACTAACCCAAATGAGCATTCCCACAAGTCAAGACAGCTATTTTTCATTATCATCTCAGCTGCAGGGACTCATTTGGCCAACTTACACGATCAGTCCATTCCTTGAAGTATAAATATTATTTTTTTCCCACATGCATTCTGACACCTCAAGAGAAATCATCTGGTTTGTAGCTCGACATCTAAACTCAGAACGGCACAATATATGTCACTCGTTCCAAAATATACCTGGAATTTCTCAAGTCTTATGGAAAGAGAGACCATACAGTTAAAACGGCTTGTGCTAAGGAAAAGCAGCAGTAACAGTGCTGTTCAGACTACTGGATAGGCAGAAGCAGCAGTAACAGTCACGAAGCTAAGATTCAAAGAAGTTGTGCAACACTTAGGTGATTTAGCTGTCCCAGTGAAATCATCCTGCCCTCAAGTGCTGCTGCTGCATTTCATTATATTCATGATCACAAGTATAGGAGCAGCTACTTGGCAAATTTACCTCCACTCTAATCCCATGTTCATATCAGTTGTACAGGAAAGCTGGAAGTACCAGCTTTCCTCCAAAAACCTAGTGCCATTGGTCTAGAGAAAGATCAATTCTCATCTCAGAGAACTGAGTGGCTTTTGGTTACGCACAAAGACCCGGCGCCACTCTAGTCCCTTCATCAAAAAAAGGTTAAAATCACCTCAAGATTAAATCTTATTCCAGTATTTTAGATCCAATCCTTTAGAGGTACAAAAGAAAATCCCTTCTTACTTCTTCTTGCACTTGGATATTTTCTTCTTAATTTGCCCTTCAATGGTATTAATTTAGGCATTATTTCAGGAACAGCTACATAAAAGTCCATTTTTATTTCATCTTCCAAAATCTGTAATAAAGAAAGAGAGAGCTCTAGAAGCATATCAGAGAACCCATTATCTCACTCCTAGTTTTGTCTGCTCATTTCAATACAGAGCTTACTGAATTTGCTCCCTCCCTCTCATTCTCTCAGGGGAGTTAAAACGTTTAATTAACATAGTTCTTGAAAAATAAATACCCATTTGATTAATTCAACTCCTCCCACAAGGGCAGCACCATTCTGTTGAGCTATTTCAGCTTCTTCCTTGTTCTGTTAAAGAGAAAAAGCAATTAGGCGTGTATAGACTACTAGCTAATTTGTCAATATCAGCATCACTCAAAAGGTGACATATTTGACAACTAAGTGCAGAAAGATCATTCATAGGTTAATAAAAACACTAAATGTTTCAGACAATTTGACTAAAAACGTAGTGCTGGGGATTTAGCTTTGGAACTACAATTTCAGCTCACTCCACGTTCCAATAAGAAGCAATAATAAAGACTTCAGACCATTTCCCCGAGCAAACAGTAGCAACAAATTTCTCATATTTGCAGGACATGAGGAAAGGACACGAGGAAAGGACACGAGTCCTTTTCCCTCTCTCCGGCCTTCACCTTCTGGATGTTACAAGCAACCAGCCACGAGATGGAGTCGGCCTCTGCTGTTACTCAGAGCTGAAGGCAAAGCACAGCGCATGCTTCCAAAAGCCACTCAATGATCTCTTTAGAAATAAGGTTATTCTACTTCAAAGAACTTTTAAACCTCAAGACAGCAGTGGCGGCGGACATATGCTACAATATATGGTTTGCATTAATTTGCTTACAGAGTTCTTTAGTCTATGACATCTGCCAAAAATAAAGGGCTTCTCCTGTTTCCAATCGCTATCTCAGAACCCTCCAAGCAATAATAGAGAAGGCATTTACTCTGATTTCATTAGGAACTGTAATAAGCAAACAAAAAGCAACACCAGCATCTCCCTCGTACAGTTCTGCAGAATACTGAAGTATTTTAGATGCTTTGTACGAATGCAATTAATGCATACAAAAGAAATCACATTGAGATACCCAAACTGAGTATTTTTTGCTTTCTTATGACAAATAAAGGAAGTTAAGTCTCGAACATTGTTTTCCTCAAGATACACACACGCAATATTTCATCATAGAGAGAAAAGTAGTAGCTTTCAGAGTTCAGTCATAGGAATTTAAATCGTTACAGAAAGCAGTTAAGAGAAGCAGTTAAGAAATCAAGAGACCACTGTCTCATCTGCAAAGCAGTACAAAAAGTCTACCCCAAGTCATTTTTGCTCGCAACGCCATGCCAGTGAGTCTGGCATATGGTTACTCACAGCAGAAGTCCTTCTCCTTCCCCATTTCGTGTTATATACAGCTAATCAACAAAAGTACAAAATCTTTCTTTTGCTATTTTATAGGCTCTCAAATTGAAAAATAATTAAAGAGTTACAGCTATAGAGAGGCACTTCGATCTGAAGAGCTCTGCATGGTTACTGATGAGTTTGCCTGATGTTATTCCAACAAGCTGAATAGAAGGAAATTGAAGTAGAAAATGATTCTACCAGTAATTTTTCCTAATTAAACAACTTGAGCCATATCTCACTTTGTCACATCTGTGCAGCTATCACACCTACTCTTAGGTTACTCCCTGTTACAGTATTCTACATAAGCACACATCAAGATGAAGGAAATCCAAGTAGGTGCATGTTAGTACACCAAGACACTACTCAAACTAACCTTAGATTTGAGAGTTCTGTAAAACACTTGCAGAGTCTTTTGAATAAAGGTACAGTGCAAATATGATAACTGGCTGCATTGTAAAACCATGCTGTGTACATAACTGAAGCAATTTTCCTTTACTCACCTCTGTGAAAACCAAAACCTTATTCATTTCATCTGTAAAACGATATGGAAGCTGAACGATGCTTGCAAATTGTTCCACTTTTTTCTAACAAGAAAGAAAAGAATCAAAATAAGGGAATCAAAGCCATAACTTTAGTAGAAATCATTGTAATTGATAGTAAACTTACTAAACACAGTAAACTTAGCCAACACAGTAAGCTTAGCCAAACTCAACTGCCTGGTCTGCAGTCATGGAACTTAGTACATGCATGAATCCCAAGGGCCCAGTGAAACACAGTAGCAAATAGGAATTTTTGTTTGTACTTCCCTTCCACTGATGCTTGATAAAAACCAGAGTGGTACAAACACAACATTTCCATCCCAACTGCAGCAGCAAAACCACCATAAGGAAACTAGCAGTGGCATGTTTTAAAAAAGACAGGAGTAACAAAAACTGACAGAGGAAACAAGTCTCAGTGATTCCATCCTTATCCCATGAATCTGAGGGATGTTTCTTAGATACAGGCATCAGAGCTGAGCATCACCTGCAAAAGCACCCAATGTTCTGACAAACAGGGAAGTTGCAGGGGCAGAAGACGGACAACTGCAGCATTTACTCTGCTCTGTAACTATATCCTTCCAGTGTTAAAAAAAAAAAAAAACGAAGTTTTTATCTACTCCCAACTTACCTTCTTCTTCTGTAATGACATATCCAGAGTTACATTAACATACACATACTGCTTGGGGTAGGTGAAGTCCAGCTCCTGGAATTTCTTCAGCATTCCCACAGCCACATCCACGTCGTAGGAAGGCCGCTCATAGTACCACGTCAAGTACACGTCGTCCACCGGCTTGCTCAGCAGGGGCGGCCTCGGACGCCACCTCTTCTTTGTTTCTTCCTGCTTAGGCTTCTGTGAACCTCTCTTAGCAGTTCTAAGACCAAAAAAAAAAAGGCAAAAAAACCCAAGCAAAACAACAAAAAACCACTTTGTTAGATCATCAAACCCAAAGTTTAGCACATGCTCTCAAACCACTTACGCACCATCCCATGCCAGTTACTAACAGTTACTAACAGCTATAGTCTCTATAAGCAGCATAGTTGCATTTGTTCAGCCTTGAGCTAATATGTCCCTACTGCATCAAAGCGGGACTGTTTTAAAACAACACATGAACCTGTGAAAGTTTTGCCCCAACGGGCCTTGTACCAAGCACTGAGCAGCTTCTCAACCTCAGTAAATCCCACACACCTTCCCAGTAACCAGACACTGGCACATGAGCTGGGAGGGTGCAGAGGAGTTCCCAGCAGGCTCCCCATCGCTCACAGCAGAAGTCCTTAAGTCCTTTCCTTTTCCCATATCATGTTATATACAGCTGATCAACAAAAGTACAAAATCTTTATTTTGCTAATTACTTTTATAGGCTCTCACACTGAAAAATAATCAAAGAGTTTCAGCTATAGAGAGGCACTCGTATCTGAAAAGCTCTGTATTTATGCATCAACTCTAGTGGAAAAGCTAACACTACTTGCCCGCATCCCACTTCCCCTATATACAAAATTATTTTTTTTCCTTCTCTAATGTAGGCAAGTGTCGTACATAAAGAAATAGTAGAGGGAACCACAGACGACAACGAGAGAGGGAAAGATGAATTGTTTGAAACCAATTCCTTAGGCTCATTAGCTTTCAAACTAGCACAGCTCATACCATAACACACCCATGCGTTTTCAAAAATGGACTTAAGAACAAGCCCAAAGGAGCCTTTCCTAAAGCTACTACCCTCGATGCTGCGAAGGCAGCAGTAAAGCCCTGCCTGCTCCCCTCCTCAGCTTGGATACAGTCCCTCCAGGCTGCCCCTGGGCATCGCGGCCCCAGAACACCCTGCGAAGGGCCCTGCTCGCCCCGCGGCCGGGGACTCACTCACTTGGCGGCGGCAGCAGCGGGCGCCGCGCAGGGCCGGCCCGGGGGGAGGG